CTCTAATTCTAGTCAATATTACTTATTTATTTCTTAAGTTTTAAATAAAAATCGTAAGCATTCAATTATAGTCATGGTCACTGAGTCACTCTGTGTGTGTCTGTAAGCTGTGTGAATGTGCACGTATAATGTGAGTTTTACAAGCAAAAAATCTTACCATAAAATTGAATTACCCTTTAAGTTTCTAAAACAAGAGTGTAAAATACCCCTTAACTTTTTAAGATAGTAAACCAAAGCGGAGTGATTATTCTCATCCGGGGTGAGGATAAACTGGATATTGTATTCTCACCCGGGGTGAGGATAATATTGTATTCTCACCCGGGGTGAGAATAAAATTGATACTATTCTCACCCCAGGTGAGAATAAATTGAGATCTAGATCTAGACTCTAGATCTAGATCTAGATTCTACTAGATCTACTCTCACCCCGGGTGAGAATAAACGACGACCGTCTACTCTCACCCGTTTTTTTGTTGTTTTGAGCATCATAGGACCCCTGTCACTGAGCGCTCCAGGTGACAAAACTCGCCTCCCTCTCTCACTCCGCTGAGCGCGGGAGGCAGCGAAAATCGCCAACGGGCGGGCCAGCTCTCGAGAGCGGGAGGCGACCATTGTCGATTTGGGGGAAAACTTATCTTTTGAGCATATAGCGTCACTTTTTGAAGCTATTTATTGGTTCTGTTATGGAAAATTTTACTCTTGAATGGTTTTTAAACAACCAATCAAAATAACGACCGACGACAGCCAAACGAAAGGATGAAGGAACCTCTAAAAGTTGGCCTGAAAAGGGGAGCCCTGCTAGATTCTAGATCTCTAGATTTTTCTAGATTCTAGCTAGAATCTAGATCTAGATCTAGATCTAGAATCTAGATATCTAGTAGGGCTATTTTCACTTTGTGACAGTGACAGTCATTGACTCATTTTGTCAAATTTTGATTTTTGATTCCTTTCACTTTCAGCACCTCTAGATTCTAGACCTAGACCACTACATGAACATTTACAGTAAGTACCAGGTACAATAATGAACTATGTGAAGGTGTAGATCTAGTATACTTAATCTTTAGACTTACTTCTCCTTGTCTTGAACTGTGTCCAGGCCGGGCTATCAACGCCGTGTTTCCTATGACCACTGCGGTGTCATCCACGAAACAGCAGTCGGGGTAGCTTTCATCTTCGACAAGTTCAATGATGTTGATATCACAATTTTTCAAAACTTCCCTGATCGTCTCATACTCTTGTCTCGCTTTCTCTACATCAACACCGTTTGGATAATTATCCGACCCAACGCTCCTGTTTTTCAGAGAGTTGGGCACACGGCAAATAATAGCGAAATTGTAGTGAAACGCCGACATGTTTACTTGCTTTGCTTCTTCAATCTGCACTTCCGCGTTCGCAGGAGAGTGACTCGTTTTCGCACGGGAAATGCTCTATTGAAATAAAAATACTGGATTGGACAGGATTTATTTCGAGGATATGGGATTGGCTTCCGATAAGCCTACGTAAAGAGTAAAGAGGGAGAAGTTAATAGTTAAAGCGAGTGGGATTATTGGGATAGTCAGTCATGAGGGTGAACACTAGATCTAGTGAACAGTTGAGTGAATAATGAACAGTCATCAAACTGTATAGTAAACTTGTACCTGGAGAATCTTTGCTTGTTGTAGGCCTACTACACCCTATAATAGCCTAGTCTTCTATTAGTCATAATTAGTGAGCGCATGTGTGCGTCAAAACTGGAAAATCCGATGACAATACCACAGACGGCCAGAGATCTGCTGTTTATGCGGATAGGTCGCGCGAATGACGAATGGGCAAGGAGTTTTACAGTCTAAGCTCCTTGCGAATGGGTCGATTAGAAGATGAAACGTAATAAATTCCGGATATAGCAGTGAGGCAATGACGCGAGTGTCGAAAGAAAGGCGGATACTATGCGATTAGCTAGTGGACTAGCAAGCGAAAAGACTTGAGGCGAGGTCGAGCTTTTATAAAAATGGGACGTAGCATCGTCGAATACAAAATCGTGTAAAATTGCAACTACATGTATCTCCCTTGAACTTTGAAGATAATACTCTAATAAGGTTGTTTTGGGGCTATTAGAGTTTGTGTGTGTGTGTGCGTGTGTGTGTTTGTGTGTGTGTGTGTGTGTTTGTTTGTGTGTGTGTGTGTGTGTTCTTTTTGTTTTAGTTTAGTTGTGGGGTTGTTGTTTTTTTGTTGAGTTTTACGGCACTTGCAACACAATACGGTCATATTTTTATAAGTGCCGACGATTAGATGTGTTAGGCTAGTAAAGAAAGGAGCAAAACACACGTTATCAGAGCACGTCCACCAAATTAACCACTCACTTTGCTCTGTTTGTTCGTAGTTGTTTGGTTGATTTTGTTGTAAGGGTTTTTCGGGGGGGGGGGGGGGTTTATTAATCATCCTTAAAATGTATTTCCTTTTTGTCGGTCCGTCCAGTTATCATGTAAATTATATTATATTATATTATATTATATTATATTATATTATATTATATTATATTATATTATATTATATTATATTATATTATATCCCCGCCCTCACCCCCACCGTCTCGTTTTCTTTCTCTAAAAAAAAATAATATATATTTATACTTTTTTTTAAAAATCGTACATTATTTGTAGGCGTTGCAGACACTTGCATGTTAACCTTGAAAACTGTAGTACCCGGTATCCTAAAACCACACCATGGAAGCAAAATGTGTGTGTGGGGGGGGGGGGGGTTGCATACCACAGTAGGCTATGCTCAACTCTGGAATTATTCCGTTCGCTTTGAGAGTGCGAGATCAGAGAGAGAGAGAGAGAGAGAGAGAGAGAGAGAGAGAGAGAGAGAGAGAGAGAGAGAGAGAATTTTTTTCATAATTGGTTTTATGCGTACTAAAAAAAAGTAGTAATAATATGATTAAATTGTATAGATATATATAACTGCTATTTTCTTACGACAGTGAACAAAAGGAAAAATATTGGCAAAGTGAATGTGGGCGTGAGCATGTATACTTTACTATTACTTTTACTTTTCACCCTCTGTTGCCGTTAAGCGTCGAGGGGAGATGCAGTTTTTTTGGTAGTGCCAGCTCCCGCAGCTCTTTAATTGAGACTCTTTCAGTTGGGATATTATGTTTTCTCAGGGTTTCTTTGGCATCCTCGATCCACCTTTTGCGTGGCCTTCCTCTTCCTAGCCTGAGTGCTTGGTGGGCTCTCGGGGCTGGCTGGCTGGCCAGGTGGCATACCTACCAGCTAACAAGTGGCCAAATGATTTTACTGTCTTTCTATGTAATGCAGGCAAGACAAAATGCCGACAGCTGCTCTTAGTTCTTCATTTCTCTGCCTGTATCGTCTTGTGATGTAAAGGGTTTTGCGGAGATATTTCATTTCGCATGCGATGATTTTGCTATGCGTTTTACTTAATGTCCAGGTCTGGCACTGGTAGTATAATTTTGGTACATGTAATTGAGGAGATAAGCTGTCTCTTTGTGTCCATGGAAATGTTTGGGTGAGATAGGAGGGGTGCGAGCTGGTAGGTGACAGCGTTGGCTTTCTGAATTAGCATTTCTATTTCTCTGTCCAAGGACCCGTTTTCAGAAAAAATTACTGCCATTCAAATCAAACTCCTTCACCTGTTTCAGTTGTTTACTATTGGCATGGATGTAGGGACTACGGTTTTGGCTCACTTTCATAACTTCTGATTTTATGGGCTTATTTTCATGCTAAATTTCTCGCAGCTGTTGTTCATTTCGGTAGGGTGATTTTGGAGGCTTTGTTGGTTTGGATGATGGGACATTGGTCGTCCGCGAATAGAAGTTCATTACAAACAGGAGGGGAGATAGAACGCATCCTTGTCGTACTCCAAATCTTACTTTCCTTCGTTCTTCTGAGCTTCTGCTGCTGGCTGGTGTGTAGAGCTCTGACATTATCTAACATTTTTCCTCTGACGCCATACTTTTTGAGTGTCTTCCAGAGTTGTGCATCGTTTACTCTCAAAAGCATTCTCCTGGTCAAGAAAGTCGATGTTGGATTCTTTGTTTTCTCGAAGAGGTATATTATATCTATCTGTCTTAATGCGAGTACAGCATCAGTGCATCCTCATCCCTTTTGGAATCCAAAATTACCTTTGCTCAGATTTCTCTCTACAATCTGGTATCTTTGCGTATACCGGTATTTTCTCTGCGTGACTTAATAAAGAGATGCCTCTGTACTCTGTACGTTGTGCACTTCCGTTTATTGCCTTTATTTCACTTTTACCATAATGGGACCACTATACAATGGCTCTTTGCCAATCTTCTGGGCATTCCTTTGTTCCCAGGCTCTATTGAAAATTCACCTCAGCCACAGAAGCCTACGCCGGTGTTTCCACAAGCTCTAACTAATGGCTTCCACTGCGATGTCATCTGGTCCTGGGACTTTATTCTTGGGGCTGGTTTTGATGAGCGCCTTTTTGATTTGAGAAATAAGGGTGGATAGCTCTCCATGATGGTTGGAACTTTTCTTGTTGTCCGTGGCACGCGTCTGAGTTGAGAAGTTCTTGGAAATAATTTTCCCATCTTTTCTTAATAACATGCTTGCTGACATTAGTAATATTACCCTCTTTGTCGTTTAATATAATGCTTGTTGTTTTTTTTTCTTCTTCTTCTAAAAACTATATTCTCTATTGCTCCTGTCTTCCTGTCTTGCTTTCCTTCTGTTATTCTGCTGATGAGCTTCTCTTTACTTAAGATCATACAAAGAGCCCCCCCCCCACACACACACGCGCGCGCGCGCGCACGCACACACGTCAAGTACAAAAATAAGCGCAGGCATGCAGGTGGTTTGACTTTTGAAGGAGAGTGGTAGATCCTGCTGTAGATTCTACTACATGTAGCCTACTTTGTACTGTCCTCGTGTTGTTTCTCACTGTCTCTTTTTTTAACTTTTCCCAGCACTGTGAACAGTCATCATGGTGTTGATGTGCTCCTCTTTACTCAAATTAAATAATAAACAAACACACACAAACACACACAAACACACACGCAAATTTATACATGCACATGATTGTGCCATAGAGAGATCGAGAGAGAGAGAGAGATCGAGAGAGAGAGAGAGAGAGAGAGAGAGCGAGAGAGAGAGAGAGAGAGAGAGAGAGAGAGAGAGAGAGAGAGAGAGAGAGAGAGAGAGAGAGAGAGAGAGAGAGAGAGAGAGAGAGAGAGAGAGAGAGAGAGAGAGAGAGAGAGAGAGAATCTTAGATGGTCTCATTCAACCAACATACTACACAATTCACTCTTCAAACGGATTAGTCAGTTGATTTTTGATTTATTTCACTGCATTTCTTGACGCTGGACAGCCGATGCTATGGAAGACATGCTTATTAGCCTCACAAGATTACCGGTACCGTTGAAATTAAATACTTAAGTTAAAAATACCGCCAGCCTCGCAGCGCCACAGACTTCATGCTCGTCCCAAAGTAGGCGATAAATAGATCTAACGAGGTTTGACTTTGACTCTGTTGGCCCAATAAATTTTGCATAATGTTATATATATATATCACCCTTGGGAAGAGCATGAAGTTGGTGGAACGCCGGGCTGGAGGTTCATCGGGGTTCCACACAGCCCCTAGCACTACAATGTACATTGTAATTGTACCATGATAGCTATGACGTAGATCTATAGCCCCGATTGCCCAACGTCAAGGAACAGTCAATGAGTCATGCTTCTGCGGTGCATTATACATGCATGTATAATGTGCGTTTGAGAAGTGTCTTTTCGTTATTGTTGGTGATCAATGATAGGGATTCTGTATGATGAAATAGTACCATTGTAGGTCTACGTGTATTCACAGCAGAGAGTCTTCGCTCTCTCGAAGGTATGATCTCTTTGTCTTTCTCGTGGGACAAAAGTACTACTATTTATTTATTAACCCTATCCGTACTTTATGTTTTACTATCGTATCCATACAACATGGGGGAACTCTGTGCCATCACTTTCCAAAGAGGAAATTTACTCGTTAATCCGATCCGTACATTTTGCAAAGCAGTCGGTCAAAATGATTCTTTGAGAAATACTGAAAGCTTTAACGAGATCTTCGTACTAGAAGTATAAAATGTGAAGAATACAACCCCGGAGGTACACAATGACCCCAAGGCGTACGGATACGGTCAATAGATCTAGGGCATTTTATTCATGCTCTAGAATAACATGCCCAAAGCAATTCTATTGTTAAATGTATTATACACTCCAGCACATCTGCAAAACAAAACATTCTTGGTTGCTTGGGAGGCATACAATACAGAGCAAGCATCCAAAGTGTTTCGTTACTAAACTAAGAAAACTGATAAGATCTTTCACTTCTATTATTGACAACAGTTAAATTGAGACAGGAACAATGAGCCTCTTGTCACCATGATGAAGTGAGGAAATTCGTGTAAAGTGTTTTTCACAAGCCAAACCG